GTGGTCTCTGTAGGGAATTCTGCCACTCCCATCTGCCCATCCCAGACCCCACTGCCCTGCCAGGCCAAGCCCAGCCAAGGGTGGCAGAGGCTCTCCCAGGCACCTCCCTGCCAGCCAGCTCTGCACAGGGCTCCCAAGGACGCTCTTTGTGCTAAAATGTTCCTCCCTTCATCCATTAGGGCCTCCAAGCCCATAAAACCAATGGAGCCTGCCCAGGCCTGGGAGTAACAAGCTGGGATAATAAAGCTGAAATATGTATCCATGTGGTTTTTTAATAAAGAGGCTTCAGGTTCAAGCTGCTGGGAGATAATACAATCATTTGACTACTTTGGGGGGATCACTACATTTGTGTGTAACTTCAAGCTCACTGCAGTGCCTGAACTCCCACTCACCACCAAGAAGGAAGGAAAAGCACGGCAGAGCCAGAGCCCTGGGGCTGTACCCGTGGCACTGGGAGCCACAGCTGCAGCAGCGACAGGTGCCACAAGAGCTGCACACCAAGGGACACACCAAGTGTCACCTCCTGGGATCCGGGATATTAGCTAAACCTTCCCATAGCCAGAGGAGTGGATCACCCAGTTAATGCCAGGCACAGCACTGCACACACACTGCCCAGCAAAGTGAGGCACTTTCCTCCTTGAACAAAATATAAATAGCAAGATCTGAGATTTTTTTTAGGTAAAGATAGAAGAGCCAGAACAAAACCAGAATATAGTCTGGTTTAACATATTCATATGCACATTCTACATTTGCATATGTATATAAAGGAAAGTGAGTAAAGCTTGGTGCTCATCACTACAACAATCTTAGCCAAGTGCTATGAAGGAGGCTGCAATCCTCAGGATAATTCAGTATATACATATGAGCATCCAAGCAGAGTGTGTCTGGGAATGCCCACAGAGGTGAAGGTGTTTCCACACACCCCCGTTTCTCTCCCAACAAATACCTGCAATGAAAGCCCCAGCCCAGGCTCCAGGAATGCCTCTGTAGGGCCAAATAATTAACCAGAGCAGCGAGCTTTCACTACAAAAATGAAGCCCAGCTACATTTATACAAATTTTTCCTGCCTCACTAATTACTTCCCATCTGCAGTAATGTGTTTACCTTCTCCTTCCTGAAGCTGGTAATTCATGTTTTTCTTTATTGACTTCCAGGTGGCCATTTTGGAGCCAACTCACCAGTTTGTCCAAATCATTTGGAATTCAGGCCCTCTGGCTCCTCCAATGCCAGGTGGGACAGGACCATGATTATTCTCTCCCCTGGGCAGCAGATGCTGGTGTTGGGTTTGCCCAGCAGGTAACTGTGATTCATCTTCAATTCCTGTTTGTGTGAGGTGCTCCAACTCCAGAGTATCTGTTCTCCCACCAAAACAGACCCCCCCTTCAGGCAAAAGGGCTTTATTTTGAACTGCACCCTTGGAGAAGTGGCCCTGGCAGAGCCTGGCCCCTGCCTGTCCCCAGTGGCCGCAGGTCCCTCCCGGGGTGCTCAGCCCAACCCCTGAGCCCTGAGCCCACCCTGCCTGCTCCTGGCTGCAAGGGAACCCCTCCAGCCCCGGGCAGAGCCAGCCCGGAGCACCGTGCCAGCTGCCGGTGTGCCAGGGGTGTGCCAGGGGTGTGCCAGCTGTGGCAGCTGCCGGTGTGCCAGCTGTGTGCCAGATGTGCCAGCTGCCGGTGTGCCAGCTGTGTGCCAGCTCCCTGTGTGACAGCTGTGACAGCTCCACATGTGTCACCTGTGTGCCAGCTCCCCATGAGCCAGCTCCCCCAGCCTGGCTGCTCCCAAGTCCCCAGCTGCCCCCACGTGCCCCTTGTCTCCGTGACGGAGGAGCAGAGCTGCCCAGGGGAGCAGGGGACAGGACAGCCTGGGGAGGACACTGTGTTTCCTTCCCTGTTGTTTGTTCCCTTACGTTATGCAGTTCCTGTGAATCCCGGGTTGGTGAGATGTGCAGCAAGCATCATTTATGGCACCCGAGGGACCAGCAGCCACTGCTGGCAAGGCTGGAGCTGGCAGCAGCCTGGCACTCCCTGGGCTGGAGCTGGCCCTGGGTGTGGCAGGAGAGACTGGCTCCTGCCCAGCACCCGCTCTGTCAGGGTGGGAATGAGGCAGCAGACCATCACATCCACGTTTTTTCCAAAGCCTCCATCCACAGTGCCCAGTGTGCCTGCCCCATGCAGCCTCCCCTGCCCCTCAGCCACCGTGTCCCACAGCCCACTCACGTCTGGGAACTCCACCAATGGCACCACCCTCCTGGGCACCAACCCACACCCCGTCAGGAGGAGGAAAAAAGCTCCAGCTCAGGTAAAGGCCACCAGTTTGGACTTTAAATGGTGACGACAACAATAAGTGATATTAAAAACCCCTGATCTTCACAGGTTGTCAGCAAACCAGTCTGATTCATGCCCACATTTAACGTGGCAGCTGCTCTCTCCCTGCTCCTGCCCCATGGAGTTGCCACAGCCCCCGTGGCACGCGGCTCTCCAGCTCATTTCCAAGGGAAATGTCAGTGCTGCACCCACAGCAGTGCCCTCCCCACCACAGCAGCAGCTGCTCTGCAAACGCCTGGAGAAAGCCCTTTATGATACTAATTTACAATATTATTACCATTCACTGGCCAACTGCAACCAATTCCAATGCCTGAAGTGAGCTGCTGTGACAAAAAGGCAACCCTAAAGCAGACATCAATAATTACTGTTTTTCAAAAGGTTTGGTTTAGTAAAAAAATAACCAAATTAACCAAATCAACACAGCCAGATTTCTCCTTTGCCTCTGCATCTCTCCACATCATGAACTTAGGATAGTTCATATCTGCCATGATTTAGCCTGTTCCAAACACAAATATTTCTGGGAACTACGGCTGGAGGAGGATTATTTCTGAATCCCAGCTTCACTCTGAAGTCAAGACACCATAACCCTCAATCTTACCCACACTTTGTGTCTTCTTTTCCAAGCTCCCATTGACAGGCTCTGACCGAAACTTCAGGGCTCAGCAAAAGCACCTGAAGTATTTTCATATTTTCTTACAAGCTTTATTTTTCAAAGCCTTCCCTGGTGTTCAGGTTTCTTGCATTTCCTTCTTTTTTTTTGCAGTGCTTCGTTGCATCACAAAATCCCACCACCTCGTAAGGAAGATCAGACTTTTCAATGTAACTGTGTGCTTGAAAGCTAAAATGCTGCATGTCCAACAGCCTTCCCTTCCCAGTTTCAGGACTCCAAACTGAAATAATGACACACAATACTGAGTAAGTTTACACAGACATATAACAAAGCCTGCCAGTGCAGGGCAGAATCTCCCTGCACTCCTTGGTCCCTCCCTCCCCTGGCAGTGCCAGAACTGGGGCACCAGTACCTGCCCACGCCCAAACAAACAGCGTCCTGCAGCCGCTCCCAGGGGCAGGTGAGGCTGGCACAGGACACAAGCAGGACAGTGGCAGCACGCAGCCAGGTGCTGCAGAGCGAGGGAGCTGGGCACGGCAGCCAGGTCAGTCCCGCGGGGCTCTGCCACTCTGTGCCCACCCTCGGCCACCGGCGGCCCACGGGGCTGCGGGCGAAGCCGCCAGCCTGGTCAGGAAGGCAGCTGGGATGGCAGGATGTGAGAACAGAGCTGTACTCAGCAGCCAGACACGCAGAGGATGGGAGGGCCGGGGGGCTGCCCAGGCTGAGCCGGGCACGCTGGCAGCACTAGCTCCTCTTCCTCTTGCCCCGCGGCGTCGCCCCGCTGCTCTCGGGGACGTGCGGCCGCCGCAGCCTCCTCCTGTTCCCGGCCGGAGCCACGGAGCTGCTGCTGGGGACAAGAACAGGGAAACAGGGTCTGCAGGGCCCACACAGCACACACTGGGGCTGCTCAGAAGCACTGTGAGCAGCACACACGTGTGCACGTGGAGATGGGGAATCGGGCACGGTTTGGCTTGGATGGCACCTTAAAGCTCATCTCATTCCACCCCTGCCATGGCAGGGACACCTCCCACTGTCCCAAGCTGCTCCAAGCCCTGTCCAGCCTGGCCTAAACGCTTCCAAGGATGGGGAGAGAAATATTTCTCTGCCTTCTCATTTGAGGAAGGTGACAGCACCACAAATCATCCCATAGCCCCTGAGCCCACAGGAACAGGGTCATCACGATGCCTCTCCTTCTGTTCCCAGACCAGTCTGGAACCCAAGGAACAGCAGTAACCCCCAGATTCCTTGTCCATAACTGAGGACAACCCCTGGCACTGACAAAACCATGAGGATGTTCCATCAGAAAAGGCAGTTTGGGGCACAGCCACCTGGAAAGCAGGATGAGAGGTTGGTCAGCATTACCCCCAAAGGAGGGCTTGGGGCCTGCAGCCTTGCCAGGCACTCTCCTCATTTATGGACAAAGTATTTTCCACAAAAAACTCAACAACTATTTTATTTTTAGTCACAGATAATTTTGAAGAAAAAATCTTAAACTAGCTGTATGTAAATGAAGCAGCTGATTTCCATCATTCAGCCTTGGAGCTTAAAATTCCACATAGTGTTGACATGAAAGATGCCACTAATCTGTCAACAGCTTTTGCTAATTAAACATTCCTTTTAAGTGCACTCTGTTTTACACCATCTGCTAGGCTGAGTCCATGCTGCAGGGACTATCCATTTGTCTTAAACTGGGAATTCACAACTGAAAATAACAATGGGCAACTCTGAGATGCTCAGGTCCACACCTGCTGACTGCCACCAGATACACAGGACAGACACAGCAGGAACAAGCTGTGTTTCAGGGCTGCACCACGATGGAATTGGCTCTCCTGCATCCCTCAGGCACAGCCAGGGAGATCCAGGTGAACCCAGCAGGCAGCTCCAGCTGGGCTCTGGTGCTGGGACTGAGCACGTTCCCAGAGCACCGGGGACCCACGGGCCTCTCCAGCTCTCCCCAGCCCCTTCACAGGGGTTTTCACATGGGAAACAGAAACATGATTCAGAGACTTGCAGACATTGAGATTTTAACAACCAAGTGCTCTGCTAACCTCAACCAGAAATAAATCAAAACAGATGCTCAATTCCAGCCTGTTCAACTTGTCAGCCTCACCTACAGCTTTGTCAACAACAGAATTTTCAAATGTAATAGAAGATCAGATTTAATTTTCCATAACAAAGCAGTTTCCTCTTTTTTTTTTTTTTTAATTAAAATATATAGTTATATATCCCTTAGAATAAAGATATTCAATTGGGCATCTGTGGATTCTTGGAGGACCCAGGTATCACTTTTCAAGGATCCACATACACTGACCAAACTGTGCTTCCCAGAACTGTGGGGATTCTTCAAGAATCTGACTTTCCTGAGGCATTTGCTTCTCGGGGATTCCACCAACTTCAAACTGCAGACCTAAACCCATCCCAAGGACTTCAGCTCTTGGATATTCTACTCACCTGTCAGAGGATGCTGAACACGTCTCAGACCCTTCCACATCTGCCAGAATGTCCGAATTGGTGCTGAGGGGGAAAATCAAATGGACAGAAATTATTTCAGCAGCACCTACAGCAATGCAGGGCTCCACTCAGCAATGGCAGCAGAGCCCCTGGATGAGACCCACCCCTAACAGCAATGAGAAATAACACCAACCTACAGCACAGTCCAGGAACTTGTGTCTCACTTCATTTTTAGTTACCCCTGGGGTGTCATTATCATTATTTAACACACAAGACAGTTCTATGTTTATGTCTGTTAAGTGGCAACTACACCACCTCTGTGTTCCCAGGCACCACAAAGTTTCTCTGGAGAGGTAAAGTATACCTTCTTTTTCTAAAGTCTCTCTTAAATAAATCAATGTGACAGAGAATTTCTGTAAGACAGCAGGACTTTTTTTCACCCTTTGCCATTTTGTCTCTCCTGTGAAGTGAGAGTCCTCAGCTGTTACGGTGGCGATAACTACAGAACCAACAGGAATTTGGCTGGACAAACAATACCAGGTTAGAGCAACCTCCAACACATGCACATTCAGTCATACAGATAAAAAGGAAAAATATACCAAAAATGGATGGGAAACATTTTGAAAGTCAACATTGTTTTTACACTCAGAATTAGAAGCCCATCAAAAGCTCATTTTCAGTGCACGAAGTGGATGCCCAGGGAATGAGTTATCATCATATTTCCAAACCCCACTGATGTTCCAGTTGCGTTTTAAAAAAGAACTGGGGAGGACACAGGGCTATTTGTGTGCTTTTAGTCCCCCAAAATAGAAAAAGAACCTCAGGTTTGAGGCCTGAACACGATGTACTTCCCTGCCTTGAAAACTGCAGCATTTATCTCCCGCCGCGTTTGTCACCGCAAAACAATAAAACTGAAAAAATCTGGCTAACGTTCAAACCAGTAATGCGCCCTCAGAATTCACATGTGGAATCCATGGTCTAGGCCCACCAAACTTTTTTAAAACCAAGTACAAAACGTCCTGCAGCGAGTTCCACCTTTGGCCTGCACAAGGAGCCATGAATGGGCCCTTGACGCCACGACCATCGGTCCCCAGAGAACCCAATTAACTCCTGCGCACTAATTGCAGTGAGGCACCGAGGGGCTGCAGGAGCTGTACAAAGCAGGCTCTGAACTTCAGCTGGAGCTCACAGCCCTTGCTTTCAGGATCTCTTCCAGCTCCCAGTGCTCCACGCCAGCCACTCACTGAAGCAGCTCTGCATCCCAGCTCTGCCCGACACCGACCTCGGGTACAGAGCCTGAGCAGGCTGCCTCTGGAGCTGAGATAACTGCACACCCTTCTGGCACGTGCCAGGGGACAAAAGGGTTTGAGTATTTAAAAATAAAATACTCAAATATGCCATAGCTGAAAAACAAGGCACAGCGAAACACTCCTTCAGACTTTATTCCAACTCCAAATTCAAGACAAATTCCCACAACAGGTTTTCTGTCCTTTTCTGAACTAAGGGTCACTAATCTCTCCCACAATTTTACAGATCATTTTCAGATGAGTCAATTTTTACAGCCAAAATGATTAAAGTTCTTCACCTGAACTGCTCAAGATGCAGCCAGCATCCTGTGGCACAGTGATCCTGCATTTATTCATGCCTCCACGTTGGGAAAAATGCAGCTCCAGTGACTCAGGCAATTCTCCCACTCCATATCCCTGCAGGATTGGTTCCCCTGGTCCCCTACAAGAGTCAACCAAGAGTCAACTCTTCCTTTCTTAACCATCAGCTGGGTTAGACTTCCACCACCCCCAACTTTCTCATTTAATATAAACACACCACCCTAAAGTAGAGAGAAAAAAGCTGATGTAAGTGTGAATGACATGTCTTGTCTAAAACTGAGAGGAGCCAACAGCCCTTTGAATTGGTTTGTTTTAAGGCAGATTAAGTTTCTCCTCGGCCTCACATGAGCAGCCAGCATCCATCCATCCGTCTGTCCGTCCGTCCATCTGCCATGTGGTGCAGACCAGGCTCCAGGCATGTTTTCCCTCATGCTGGCACAAGAAACGAGCTCCAGACCATCTCATTTTTCCAGTGTCATTTGGAGGTGAATGCCCGGATGAGGGAAAGCAGCTTTCTCCCCCTTGCAACCCTGCCAGCACGTTGTGCCCCTGCGAGGAACGGGATGAGTCGCTGCCGGAGCAGCAGGCACCGTGCCACGTCCAGGATGAGCAGTGCACCAAACATCTGCCAGGGCTTTCCAGAGCCTCCCCTTCACACCATGGGCCCATGGCTTCCTGCTCCTGTCTCCAGAGAGGTCTGCCAGCCTTGCCTTTGCCCGGGCCCCCAGGGAGGGCTCTTGTCTGTACCAAACCCTGCTCAGGTTCCACCATCTTGCTGCTTTCCTTGACTCTTTCCAGGCTTCCTTAGTTTTCCACAACCCCCTCTGCAGCCCAAGAAGACACCTCTGAGGCTGTGCCTTGGGAAAGAGGAAAGATCTGCTGCACCCACCTGAACTGCTTCCCTCAGGAGCAGTGGGATGTGGTGGCTGAAGCAGCAGGAGCACTCCCTACAACTCCTGCTTTCGGGGCTCAGAGACATCCACGGCCCACGGCTCCTGACCAGGGACTGATGTCCTCCTGGACACAGCCTGGATGTAAGGACTTCCACCACCACCAGCTGGCCCTCTCTGACAGCCTCCCCAGGACTCTCGCCACCAAGCCTACAGCTCCTGCCATTTGCTACAGCTCAAAGTTTTGGGAAGAAAAGTATGAATCAACAGCATAGCAGAAAAGTATCATCATCCTTTCACAATGAACCCACTTTGAGGCCGAAACTCACAGATCAAACACTGTGATAGAAATCATCTCTGAGCCAAAGCAGTGCAAGATTTATGAAGTAAAAGAGTCCTGAAGATCTATAAAAGGCAATTATTGCACTGATCAACACATTTTCATACACTTCTGTCATCTGACAGCAATGGCCAGGGCGCAGGACAACGCTGCCTCCAAACTCAGGCTGAGGCAGCATTTCCAAGCACTGCACCCTGCCAGCTCTCCAAACCCACGTCACCCATTTCAGAGGGCTGCTGCCAGCCAGTGCACTCCTATTTCTGCCTCTTCTGCTGATGAACAAATTATGTAAAGCAAATAAAACCAAGGGCAAGTGACCTGCTAAACCCAGAGCTCGGATCCTGATCGGTGGCTCCTAAACTCACTGCCAAAAAGCCCCATATACTGCAAGAGGTCCCTTCCTTGGGCACGAACCCCTCCTGGCAGAGACTGCAGTCATGCTGGGTATTCCAACAACACAGGGACTTATACAGGCTGTGGACACTTTCCCACCAGGATTTCAGAATTCTGACTGTGCTTCAGCATCTCAGACACAGCCAATGTTGGGCTCT